TTCAGCATGGGGGTGAGTAGAAAATGAAGGCTAATCATGTTTTGGGTGTACTATTCCTTTAAGGTTTATTGTTAAAATGTTGCAAAATAAAGGACATGAGACATGAACAGCCTTTCCTAATTTTGTCATTTCCCTACCTTCTCAATCACTAACTATGTTTCTGCTTTTCTGCTTCAGTTGAGGAAATCACAGACTTTCCAGACCTGGTAGAAACGAACCAGATCAGCGGTGCTGGCAACATGCTGAAAACTCTAAATCCCATCCTTATTACCATCATCGCCATGTCAGCCCTGGGGGTTTTCCTGGGTGCCATCTGTGGTGTGGTTTTATACTGCGCTTGCTCACACGGCGGCATGTCAGAGAGGAACTTATCCGCCCTGGAGAACTATAACTTTGAGTTAGTCGATGGTGTCAAGCTAAAGAAGGACAAACTCAATGTACAGAACTCATACTCAGAGGCGTGAGATGGGTCTGGCTGCTTTCATATGACTAACAAACGGGCAGAGCTCGCACAAAAAGACATAAACAACTCAAGGCATATCTTCTCATATGTCTGCCCCATAGGCGGGCTCAACAGGACTGCCAAACACCCTCTACTCATTAGATGAGGGTCAGGTTCAGGAAACCAGTGGGAGGTTTGGACTGATCCACGCTTTTTTCTCAGGAGCTGCAGTAAAAAAAGAACCTACCAGTAGGGGACACTGTGTACAAATAAAATTACAGGAAAAAAAATATGTACAGATGTTTAAGATGATATTATAATTTTGTATTTTGATTTTCATTCATTTCTACAATCGGATGCTGGTGTTGAGACCAATTTATTAATGATGTTTAAAGTATTTATCATTTTCTGGGTAAAAAAAAAAAAGTTTTGTTTTGTAGAATCAGTTCATGAAGGCTGTTGTTTCTTTTCATGCTTTCAAAGAGACGTATTGAATCTTTAAAGAACCATATTCAACAAAACTGTTAATTTGCCCTATAGGGTGGCATGGCGAGTGCGACCCTAATCCTTTTCCATTTTATCACTCTAAAGTGAGGGTCCCGTTCATGTATGGTTCTGACAGTGCCTTTAGTACCTTTTGGTTAGCCTTTTCTGTTGAACTGAGTTCTTCTTTTAATTGCTGTATATTAGGATTAAGTTATAATTAAAGGAAACAGGGGCACATTACATTATAAAGTCCTATCAAACAGGACTAAAGTTTATTGCAGCGCTTTTTTGTTTTTTTCTGTCCTAAAAAAGAACTTTGTAAATACGTTTTAATATATTTTATTGCCCTTTTTAAAGAAAGTAAAAAGAAAAAAAAAGCTGCAGTATCCCTTTTTTCCCCCCCCTTCATGAATGTGAGTGCGTGTGTGTAAATACAATCTTTTGACTGTTTTGTGCAAAACTGCGACGTCGATCTTAGATTCTGTTGCTCAGGCAAGGAAGATTGTTTTTTGGGATTTTTTTTATTTTGGTGCATTTGTTTCATCTTTCATTTCTAAAAACAAAAATACAACAAAAGAAAGGATGTGTAAAACAGAAAAACACACACCCTCCATTAGTACTCCCTCATGATTTCACATCTGTTTTGTAAGTTTGGCAGAATTAAAGGGTAAATCTAAACATGTTTACGTCAAAAATATATAATGTTGACCAGCATACCAAAAGGAAAACTACAACCACCTTCTGTTTTATTCATTTTACCTCTAACATCACTGTGGATGTTCACTGTAGAAGTGCTTTCTGAACAATGCAGCTTGAATGCACTTTGTTTTCTGACTCCAGCTTCGATAGAAAACTGATAAAAGTGGAGTTTTACCAACTGAATGATGGTGCTATCAGTAGTTTAGTCAGACATTAATGTGTTTCATTATAAACCCAGTTTCCTACATGCTGATGTGTAGCTGAAAGGTCTCTTCTGAGGCCTGCAAGAGTTTTATGTGTTTCACATGTAGCAGCCATAACGATGATGTCAGAGCTGATGTCAGAAGAACGGGACAGCGGTGCAGCAGGGGATCGAGTGGCATCACCTGAATCAGGTTATCTGGCCTCCCTCTGTGGCTTTACCAAAGGATTGTTGCCCTTCGCCACAAAAACACACACACACACACACCTTTTGACTACAGGGGCTTCTCCAAAGAGAGAACAAGAACACAGTTCATCACCAAGCGGGCAACTTTCAGGCCTGCCCCTTCGAGAGAAGGTCAAGAGGGGGGAAACAACAGGACACTTGTGGGAAATTGCAAAATGTAACAGTGTGTTTTTCTAGCTCCTTTTAGACAAAAACACTGCAAATCTCACCTTGTGAACTTTTAAGGATCTCAGTCGAGACTGTTTGCAGACGGAGAGATGAGACAATCCCACCATCACACACTCAAACAGGGAAAGGAGTTCTAAGTGGTGAGATTTACAAGGACAGAAGGGCCTGAGAAGCCCAATGAAACTCATTGCTTCGCCTCACCGCAATCGATCCAATCACGAACTTGTTTTATTTCTACGAAGGGGTGACGTCTTTTAAATCCGTGTGCTTTGTATGTCGTGCCGTGGTGTACACACACTCTCAGCTTGTTCGTTTCAGATTGGACGACCCGCTCTCCTCAGCCTTCACTTTCAGAGGACAGTAGCTGCAGCAAGCTAGACGAAAAGGATACTGTAGCGTGGACTCGAAAACAAACGATGTTGCACTGAGAAATATATTTAAGAGGTTTATGTGTTTATAGTGTTCATTTGCAGAAAAAAAGAAAGGTTAAAACAGAAAAAAAAACTTGTGCTCATTTTTTTTTTTTATGCATAATTTCAGATTATCTGAAATGGATCCAAAATGTACAAACATTGAGAAGAATTCAATATAAAAAAGATTTTTTTTTTCAAACGGAATATCCCTCTCTTTACATGTACATGCCATGTTAGCGCTTCATTTTGTACTGTCATTCAGATTTTGTGCAGGTTTTTTTTTCTTTTTTACAAGAATAAGAAAAAACTAGACTTTTATTTTCAATACCGCTTCTGTGATTTGCTGTTGTAGAGAAAAAAGTAATAAACAGCAAAGGCCTTAAAAAGCATTGGGTATGACTGTGTCGTTATGAATGGAAAACATGTTTCTGCTGTTTATTCAGCAGAACGGGATCGGAATTCATGCCAGGGCAGCAAGGGGTTAACTAGCTACCTATATAGCACAGTGGGTCTATGCCCTGTCTCATAGTCGTCTGCTGATAAAAACAGCAAAACTTTGACAAAGTGGAATTTTTTTGGAAAGCAAAGAGTTAAATCTTTCACAAATAATTAAGTTACCTAAACTGAACTTCAAAAACACACCACAGAGTTTATGTTCTGCTGTTTAAAGTTCCATCAAAGTCAACTTCCGGCGTATATGAGGAAAATAAAACCCTGCTATTTTGCAAGTTCTCCCACTTAGAGATCATGGAGGGGTCTGAAATTGTCATTGTAAGTGCATGTCCACTGTGAGAGACATAACCTAAGAAAAATCCAGAAATCACAATATATATATTTTTTTTAACCATTTATTTGTATGCAGCTGCAAATAAGTGTTTGAACACCTGTCTATCAGCTAGAATTCTGACCCTCAAAGACCATTTTAGTCTGCCTTCAAAATATCCACCTCCACTTCATTTATAATCCTAAATTAGATGCACCTGTGTGAGGTCATTAGCTGCATAAACACACCTGTCCACCCCATTCAATCAGTAAGAATCCAACTACTAGGGCAACAGTGACGTTGGATGTAGCAGTTTGCCCTGAAATCGAAGGATTGACGGTTCAAGCCGACCCTTCAGTGTCGTTGTGTCCTTGGGCAAGACACTTCACCTGCATTGTCTACTGATGGTGGTCAGAGGTTCTGTCAGTGAGCCTCAGGACAGCTGTGGCCACAATGTAGCTTGCCACCATCAGTGCGTGAATGGGTGAATGAATGTAGTATAAAGAGCTTTGGTCAAGTCTCCTGACTTGAGTAAAGGCCCTATATAAGTACATGCCATTAACCATTTACTAACATTGCCAAGACCAAAGAGCTGTCCAAAGACAATAGAGACAAAATTGTGCACCCCCACAAGGCTGGAAAGGGCTACTTTTTCACCCAGCTACCAAGCAGCTTGGTGAAAAAGTGTCCACTGTTGGAGTAATCATTCGAAATCCATTGGAGAAAGCGCTGTGGTTCTCAGCGACATCCAAGAAACCTGACTGATCTAGATCTGTATGGAGGAGTGGGCCAAAATCCCTCCTACAGTGTTTGCAAACCTGGCGAAAAACCACAGGAAAAAGAATAGAATTCAACTTTATTGTCATTATATTGTCACAAGTACAAAACAAATAAATTCACTCTCTGCATTTAACCATCCCCTTGGGGGGCAGTGGGCTGCCATTGTGAAGCGCCTGGGGGTTAACGGTCTTGCTCAGGGACCCAGAGTGGCAGTCTGTGGGAGTGGGGCTTGAACTCAGAACCTCTGGGATCCAACCGTAATGCCCTAACCATTAGGCCACCACTACCCTAATTGAATAAGGGCACACATCCATTAGACGTAAGTTGTAAGGATATGCTCAAGTTAAGATATCCTTACAGCTCACGTCTAATGGATATAAACCCCTGAAGACTGTTTCTCCAAGGAAAGATTTGACCTCTGTAATTGCAAACAAATGCAAAATAAAATAGTTTAGATTATTAGATTATGTCTCACAGTGGACATGCACCTAAAATGATAATTTCAGAACCCACCATGATTTCTGATTGAGAGTAATTGCAAAATAGCTGGGTGTTCAAATACCTATTTTCCTCACTGTTTATATAAATATGTTAAATATTTTCTTTGGAGCAACAGAGAATTTGTTTGTTACATCATGTCCTAACATCACCTTTTTTGGTCAGAGAAAATAAGAAAGATTTTGTTTTATCTCTGTGCATGCACAGCAGTCAAGGCGAGGGTCAAACATATTTCCAGAACAGGGAGTGGCTGCTGCTGCTCAGAGCAGAATGAGCAGAGTTTAGAGGAAAAAACTCCCGTTTATCATGCTAACTGTAGTCTTTACAGTAGGAGAAAGAGCTCTTGTTTTTTTAGGTTTTGTCAGAGTATTTAACAATTGAATCTTGGGGTATAACTGATGGGATGTCCACTCTTGAACTGAAAATTACCATGAAACCTTTTCACAGCTAAATATTTGTGCATGATTTTCAAGTGCACCCAGTCCTCATTGCCCAATAAGGAAACAAAATTCTCTGTAATGAAAGGGTAAATATGACTCAGGGTTAACGCGATCAGCAACACCAGTCCTCTCCTGATTCACAACAGAGGCAGAGCACAACAAAGGTGTAGTACTAGAAGCCCTCGTTCATAATACTTGCTTAACAGTCCTTTTTCCAAAGCCCACATTTATTTCTATAATTCTTAATTCTTAAATAAGTCAGATTCAGTCGAAGACAAATCCCTTCTAACCTCAGATTCTGAAATTCTGAGATCAAAAATGAACTGCTGATCAGTTTATTTATGAAACCAAACACCAAGTGGCAATTATGAAAACCTTAAAGAGAAAACTACGTGAATGGTAGCCATCTACAGCATGTCCCAGTATATCACGGATAAGCCCCCAATTTTTGACAACTGGCTCAGTACCACAACAAAGAATGGGAGACATCACCACAGGCGAGGCCAAGCAACAGTGAGAGTCACATATCCTTTAAAGGAATAGTACACCCAAAACATGATTAGCCTTCATTTTCTACTCACCCCCATGCTGAACAACACTCTGGAGTACTTTTTTGATATCTCAAATGCATCTGGAGATCTGGGAGGCTTCTTGCTGTCTGCTGACATTCAAATAAT